CCCGTCGCTAATCCACGCCCCCTGAATCCATGTTGCGATCGCCCGACCCGCCCCCCCCCCATCCCCCCCCCCCCCCTCGCCCTCTGGCGGTGCGCCGGGAGGCCGTGGGCCGGCCCTCTGGACATGCAGGGTGGGCCTCTTGCAAAGGGGCCGGGGCGCCGCTGCAGGAGGGCTTCTCGGAAGTCCTGCCCTCCGAAGAACTGCGGGCCTCCCGACCCCTGCGCAAGAGGCACCCTGCCCTTCAAGAAGAAGACCGCTCTCCGCGCCCAGCCTGCGCGCCCTTCTTGCCCTCCCCCACCGCTTGGCCCACAGTCCCGGGCCAGCTCGCAGGTCAGGGCGCGCTCAGAGGGGCTGGCGCGGGGGGGGCAGCCGTCTGAGGAGGTTCGGGGGCGGCTTCTGGGGAGGCATCCTGGCTTCGCGGGGGCCCCCTTGGAAGCCTCCGGGCCTCCCCGAGGAGGCCCCTGCCATCCTAGAACCCACCCCGCCTTCCCAAAAGGCTGCCCCCCTCGCGCTCCCCCCCCTCCTGGAATCCAAAAACCGTGCGGTGACAGACCGTGCGGCGACCTCGGAATCCCAAGCGACCTCACCGCACGGTCCGTCACAGCAAGAAGTTGAGACCCTGGGAGGCCCCAGTCGCCAAAGGCATCCTCGGAGAACGACCCAAGTCCCAAAACCGCGCGGCCACCCCAAATCACAACTGACTCACGACACGGTGTCAGCGAACCGTTATTGGGGAGCCCCCGATCCCTGTCGTCGACTTTGAAGGGTGTGGTCTGTAAGGGGTGCGGTTTGCAACCCGCACCCCAAGGGGGCGGGCGAGGACAACGGTCTCCGCCGCGCACCGAAGAGGCCCGACGAGGGCAACGCGGTGCCCCGAGGCCCAACGACGCAGATCGCTAACCACACCCTGGCGAGGTCAGGAGGAGGAGGAGAAGGAAGAACAGGAGGAGGAGGAGGAGGAGGAGTGCTGAAAAGGGGCAGGACTCAGAGCGTTGAGCCTGGTCACAGCTGTACGTGAGGCTCCCGCCGCCCGCCCCACAGGTACCCTGCGAGAACTCCCAAGTTGGCACAGTCGGCAACCGGGACCCAGGACGGGCGCGGCGTGCGCTCTGTGCTGGAGGCCCAGCGCCAACGCCGGCGACGTCGACGCCGACGCGGGCGGCGGCTGCGCAGGCCGACGCGATGACGACGTCGCTGGCGGCTGCGCAGGACCGTCAGGGTCCCACTTCTTGACTCAGGCTTCGGGCTGCGCACAGGCAGCCTCGCCGGGCAGTCCCGGCTGGCCTCAACAGGCCCCCCACTAGTTTGGGGCGGTCTCACCAACCCAACCCCGGGGCGCCCCAGGGGCGCCCTGGCGATGTCGCCAGCGGCGCCCCCGGATCGCTCCGCGCCCCAAAATTAGGATTGTGAAACCGCAACGGAATCAGAATACTCGGGGGGCCTCTTGAAGCCAGCCGGGACTACTCGTGGGGCCTTTTGAGGCCGGCCAGGGGGCTGACTGTGCGCAAACCGAAGCCTTACCAGCCGACGTCGCAGACGTCGAACGATGACGACGTCGACGACGACGGCGACTTCGTCAGGCCTGAGCTGGATCGAATCGTGAAATCGGATCGGATCGGACATGGATCGGATTGCAAGCGAATCATCCCGAATCTCGGAGGCGACGACAGGGGCGAAGAGCCCAGGGGTGGGCATTACACATCATCCTTCTGGGAGCCACGCCGAAGACATGGACGATCGGTCCCCTTGAAAATACAGAACCGACAAGGCTCTTAAAAAAAACGCAACAGCGGGAAACTACATATTTGTCTGGTGGCCTTATTGACGGACTGGGGCCCCGACAACATCAGAGACTAAGAATTTGTCCTGGCCGCCGCCATTGACGACGACACCGACGACGACGAGGAAGAGGAGGAGGAGGAGGAGGAGGCCTGAGGAGGAGGAGGAGGCCTGAGGAGGAGGAGGAGGAGGAGTAACGTTATGAGGAGGATGAGGAGGAGGCCTGATGATGATGATGAGGAGGAGGAGGAGGGAGGGAGGGCCAGTTTATTCACCGCCGAGAGCTTTCGGGGGGTGTCCCAAACTAAAGACCCTTCAGGGTTATTGCTCCGCCCTGGGCTATTCGCCCCCACTGTCGCCTCCGACAACCGAATCGAACTCGGATCGCCGCGACTGGCTCGGGCCAGCCCTGGCCGACATGCTCCGGCGAGCCGCACCCCGAAACGAATCGGCATCGCGGCCCCAGCTGGCGCACCGAATCGCATCGCATCGGCTCGTAGGCGGCGCTGCGTCATTCGATGACGTCGACGACGTCGACGCCGACGCCGACCCAGAACTCCGGTGTCTTGATTTGTTTAGCACAAGGTCCCCAGAAATCCCAACCCTTCCCAGGGCCGGTTTCTCATCCCGAACGGTTTCTGCACGGTCGTGGGGCCCGGCGAGGGCCCCCGGAGGCCGACACACGATACCAACAACTTTTCGCCGTGATTTCTTGCCACAACGCGAGCACGTTGAAGGGGCCCTGGGACACACAAATAAATACATACACATAACAGAATTCCCCATATCTTCCCATATTTTCCAGGTTTTTGTCTTCCCCCCCACTCCCCATATTTTCACATATTTTTCTGGGGAGTCGACGATTGACTGTGTCTGTTTTTTTGTTTTCCCCTCCTGACACGTCTGATCCTCGAAATCCTGTCTTGGCTCCCTGCTTCGAGCAGCGGCGCCTCCCGCACCCGGCCTGCGCGCGGCAGAGGGCCGAGGCCCCCGCGGGGACCCCCTCTGAGCCCACCGAGGCCGACACACGGCCCAAAGCCCCTTCCGCGCTGACCGCTGCTGCGACGCGATCCCCCCCCCCTTTCTTGTCCCTCCCTTCGTCCCAGCCCCATCTGGCCTTCGCGCGGGCCAGGCAAAAATTCGTGATGCGGTCGCCCACCACTTCCGGACATGATTACCTGTTCGGACGCTGTTGACAGAACATCGGGGATCTAGTAACCCGCTTCAATGCAAATCCTGGCCAATCGGACATAATCCCACCAGCCCTTTAGGGCGTAGGTGGTCTAGAGAGTTTCCTCTGCCAACCCCCCTTCTTTCCCTTCGGGGAGGGGTTTACCCCTCCCCTTACCCCTCCCCACTGACCTGGACGGGGCGTTCCGCGACGCGTTGGGACGCCCAAGATGGCCCAAGACTGCTCCAAGAGCGAAAAGGCGAGAAAACACAAAACATTGATTTTCCTTAGGTTTTGGAAGGATTTTGGCCTCTTGGGGGGGCCCAAGAGGCGATCCGAGGCACTCTAGAGGGGCGAGAGTAATTGAGGCTCCCCCCTTCTTTGATAGATCTCCTCCAAGATGGCCCCAAGTGCGCCCCGAAGGCTCCCAAGAGCGCCCCAAGAGCGCCCAAGAGCGCCCCAAGAGACCCCAAGAGGCCCCCAAGAAGCCTCTAAGAGGCTGCCAAGAGACCCCCAAGAGGCCCCAAGAGAGTCCAAGATGGCCCAAGACGGCTCCAAGAGCGAAAAGGCGAGAAAGCAAAAAACATTGATTTTACCTAGGTTTTGGAAGGATTTTGGCCTCTTGGGGGGCCCAAGAGGCGACTCGAGGCACTCTAGAGGGGCAGCGCTAATATACGACCCTCCCTTCTTTGATCGATCTCCTCCAAGATGGCCCCAAGAGCGCCCCGAAGGCTCCCAAGAGCGCCCCAAGAGCGCCCCAAGAGCGCCCCAAGAGGGCCCCAAGAGGCCCCAAGAGGCCCCCAAGATGCCCCCAAGAGGCTCCCAAGAGACCCCCAAGAGGCCCCAAGATGCTCCCAAGATGGCCCAAGACGGCTCCAAGAGCGAAAAGGCGAGAAAGCAAAAAACATTGATTTTCCTTAGGTTTTGGACGGATTTTGGCCTCTAGGAAGGCCCAAGAGGCGATTCGAGGCACTCTAGAGGGGCAACGCTAATAAGCAACCCCCCCTTCTTGATAGATCTCCTCCAAGATGGCCCCAAGAGCGCCCCGAAGGCTCCCAAGAGCGCCCCAAGAGCGCCCCAAGAGGGCCCCAAGAGGCCCCAAGAGGCCCCCAAGAGGCCTCCAAGAGGCCTCCAAGAGACTCCCAAAAGGACACAAGAAGCTCCCCGAGATACGCAAGAGGCCCCCGGGACCGCCAAGAGGCCCCAAAGACGGCCCAAGAGGCCCCCAAGCTCGCCATTGTCCTCCTCCTCCTCCTCTTTTTCTCCCTCCTCCCTCCTCCCCCTCCCCCTCCTCCTCCTCCTCCTTCTCCTCCTCCTCCTCCTCCTTCTCGTCCTCCTCGTCCTCGCCCTCCTCCATCTCCTCCTCCTCATCTTCCTCCTCCTCCTCCTCCTCTTCCTCCTCCCCCTCCTCCTCCTGCTCCTCCTCCTGCTCCTCGTCTTCCTCCTCCTACTCCGACGACGACGACTCCTCCTACATCCTCCCCCTCTTGGAACGTATGGCGGCTTAACCCGCTCTTTGTTCTTCTGCATGCTCCCCCGCTTCCCTCATCACCTCCACTCCTCTGGGGCTCATTTCTGGACGGGCTGGTGGGGATACGCGAAGCGTCTAGAATTCAAGATCCTGCAAGACCGTGCAAAATCTTTCGGGATCCTGCGCGCTGACCCGGGTCTATGCATCTCTGGTTCTGCATGATCCTGTAAGGTTCGGCGTTCTGGCTGACCCCCGTTTGCCTTGACCCCCGCGTCGAACAGCTCGAGAATTGTTGCTACGACGCGAGCCGAGCCAGGGTTCGCTAACGGTGACGTCGTGGACGACGACGACGACGGTCTCTGACGGCGACACGCTGTCAAACCACACGCGCGGCGGGGCGCCCAAGACCGGGCAGCCCCCCCCCCCCCCCGGACAGGCCACGACACCTTTGCACGACATGAGGGCCCCCCGTGGCGCCTCGAGGCAACCCCACCCCGGGGCAGGCACGGAAGAGCCTGCCTGACAGACGATGTCGACGACGGTGACGTCGTGGGCACGGCGGCGGCAGCGGCGGGTTTCCTCGGGCGCCCGCTCGTCTGCACGAGGGCGGCACCGCGGCGGGCACGCGGGCCTCTCGCGGGCCGAGGGCGCTGCCGCGCGCCCGACGAGGGGTCGTAGGGAATCCCCGGGAGGCCCCCAAGAAGCCCACAGAGGCTCCTTGTCCTCCTTCCCCTCCCCCCTTCTCCCGTCCCCCTCCTCTTCCTCCTCCTCCTCCTCCTCCTCCTCCTCTTCCTCCTCGTCCTCGTCCTCCTCGTCCTCCTCTCCTCCTCCTCGTCCTCCTCGTCCTCCTCGTCCGCCTCGTCCTCCTCGTCCGCCTCCTCCTTTTCCTCCCTCCTGTTCCTCCCTCCTGTTCCTATTCATCTTCCTTTTCCTCCTCCTCTCCCTCCTCGCTCTCTCCTTCCTCCGCCTCCTTCTTTTTTCCGCCCTCGCTCCGCAGCGTTCCCAACCGCGTTCGAGTGCCCGCGGTCACCCGACGGCGGCTGGCCCGACACGGGTGCGGGAGCCCCCCAGACGCCACCAGGGGACCCTCCTCCCCCTTCCCCCCTCCTCCATCTCTTGTCCTTGTGATTGACAGCTCGCTGTCGCGCCCCGAGACGTGTCAGTAGGGCGGGCGGGGCGTTTCGCCGCAGCCTCCCCCGCCATTAAAGATCCTGAAGCGCAAGAGGCCGCAGCAACCCCACGGACGGAGATCTCGCCTGAGCGTTACGCGCGTTCGTTTGAAAAAGGCTGCCAAAGCTTTACGGATTGAGGAAAGTGCGGCTGTCGCTTGCGCGCTCATGTCTTACACATGTGCCAGAGCTTCGCGGAAGGAGGGCGGTTCCTTTTTTCTGACTCTCTACCGGACCACCCCAAGCCAACCCCCACCCCGAAAACCCCAATTTCGGGCTGGGGGGGGGTACGGGTTCCATCTGTGTTTGTTTCATTGTTCCTCGACCCCCCCACACCGGAAATGGAGGTCAAATTGAAGCCTTGGGGTTCGGTTGTGGTGTTTTGGTGGGCGGTTCCTTTTTCAAAACGAGGCTCTCGCCCGAGCGCCACGCATATTTACCACCCAAAAGACCAAAAAAAACCCACGGGCGGAGGGCGGCCCTTCCCTCCAACGCGGTTCCCGCTTGAGCGCCGCGCAGATTTGTCATACAAGCCCGCAGAAGCCCCACGGACGGAAAACCGCCCCCCCCGTTAAAAAAAACACGGCCCCCGGCTTAAACGCCGAGCACACCCGCCCCAAGAGCTTCCAGCAACACGGCGGATTCCGACGGCCGACGCCACAACATAAGCGCGGCGGCGCGACCCAGGACTCTCGGGCCGCAACAACTACGTCGATGCGAGGCGCCGAGCTCCCAGGAATGGTGTTCCTCTACGTTTCAGGTTCGCCCAGACGAAACAGCAACGTTGAGCCGCGGAGTTGAAGTCCCAGGAAGGGCGTTCTGGAACGGCTCAGCATTTCTAGGGCCGGGCGCGTTCCTTAGTGAAACTGAGTCCGCGTAAGGACCTATGAAAAGGGAACTTGGTGGGAGGGCTTGCTATTACATCGTTGATGCACATTCGGTTAACGCTGGTCCTGTCGACCCTGTCGGTCCGTGTGTAGCCGACGCCCTCCAGACGGAAAAGCAGGGCGGCGAGCGACGACGAGCGGCGCGCAAAACGGGGGCACAGCCTGAGCAAGCGAGCCGACGCACACCCACTAAGGCCTCGACCGAAGCCGGAGAGAGGAATTGGAAACGTGAAAACGCGAAGCGTTATACATGAATTAATCAGGACCGCGGCCCCTGACCTCGCGCTCTCTCCGAGAGAGAGCCTGCGGCCGCGGGCCAAAGCGGATCCTGGACAAATATACGCGGGCGGTGGTGGCGGGGCGCCCAGCGCAGGCCCCTTTAGGGGACCGAAGTTGGGCACTGGAGAAGTGCCCACACACCCCGCAATGCCGCGGCTGAAGATCCGCGTGGTAAAACGGCGCGCGAGACTCATGCATCCACCTCCCCAACACAATGCAAGTGTTTTTGGGCAGGCACCCTAAACGAGGTTCTGTCGACGCGCTCCAGTTTAAAACGCGGGCTTCGCAACCTCTCTACGAAACTTATCTTTGCGCGGCCGAGCCTCTACGAACAGTGCGCTGACGGCCGCTGTCATCCTGGACATGCTGCGAACTCAGCTGCCCGACGATCGTGGGGGCAGGCGGTGGGCGATGATGCCTTTTCCGCCAATCGCAAGCTTGCCTCGGATCGGCAGCAATCGCGTCTATATGTGCACGCGACAACCTTCTCTGAACAAGCGTGGCTCTGTGCCCGGTGGGGGCCATGCGAAATCTGACATCCAGTGCAATCCGACATTCATCGCCATCTCGCCTGCAGCTGCGTCGGCAATCCCTTTGCCCTCGATCACCACGATGGAACTCTTTGCTGGGTGGCCTGCTCATCCGACAAGTGAATTACTGAGCCGGGCGACCGCGCTCGGCCCTGTCTGCGCCATGCAGATGCTGGCCGCTCCTTGCCCACAAATCAACATCTTTGGCAACGGATCGTGGGCGCGCGATTAGCTTCTTTGACCGGCCCTCTGCCGCTGCCAAACTGTCGGTCATAGATCAACCACTTGAAAGGCATGCAGGCGGCCGCCTCAAGGGCGGCTAACTCACCTCGACAAACTGTTTGACGTCTGCCTGAAAGAGCCTTCCTGCCCGTTGCACCCGCTCGAAGGGAATGCCTGGAGATGGCTCTCGCAATCGCCACCCCTACGCGACGCTAAGCGGGCTTCGTGGCATATAGGCCCCCACTGGCGCCACCGCAAATGAGGGTTGGCTCGTCGACGGTGCCCTCGCCCAGGTTCCCCGTTCCATATAACGCATTATCATCAAAACCCCGCCGTTCTTCGCCGACTGGCCGCGGCGGCGCCGACCGCGCTCGCGGCGCGCGGCCCCTCGACCAATGCGCAGGGCCCTGCTCGTGCTGTGCCGTGGCCCCTGGGAGTAGACCGTCCGACCCCTGTTGCGCCTGCTTGTCTCTGCTGCGCGGACATGTCCAACCTCTGTGAAACTTCGCCCCAACGTGCATGTCCCCGACTGAGTGACACCGCGGACGCAGCTGCAACTGAATGTCTGCATCCTGCACTCCTGCCACGAGCCGTTCACCTGGCCACGTTCCCCCGGCTGCAATCGCCAACGTCAACTCCGCCATGGCATCGCCTTTTCGGAGCGTCCACCAGCGGCTGCATAGAATGCCGATACGACTGAGCACCAATCCCGACCCCGCCTCCACAGTACGGCGCTAGCGAAAACGCGGCCTGCTGTAAGGCCGCGGGACGTGCCAGCCGCGAAGCGGTCAGAAGCGGGCCCTCAGGAGACGATGATGATGATGATGCCAGCGGTGCAGCACTCCCCCCTTTTTGCTGCTGCGCTGGCCGCGCGCTCCTCCCGCCGGCGCTAGTGGCGCCAGGCGGGTCCCTCCTTCCGCCACGCGAAGCGGGCCTCGCCGCGGTGCCTTTAGACACCAAGGCAAAGCCCAGGGTGGGCGGGCAAAAGAGGGCCCATTCGGGCCCTGGGAGGGCTTTGAGCCCCGAAGGCTTGAGCGGGAGAGAGGGAGAGAGAGGAGCAGGCAGAGGCAGGAGCAGGGAAAAGAGGGAACCCAAGCCGACTGGGGAGGGCGGGGTCCAACTGTTTAGGACAAACAACTAAGACCCCGCCCCCACAGTACGGCGCTAGCGAAAACGCGGCCTGCTGTAAGGCCGCGGGGCGTGCCAGCCGCGAAGCGGTCAGAAGCGGGCCCTCAGGAGACGATGATGATGATGCCAGCGGTGCAGCACTCCCCCCTTTTTGCTGATGCGCTGGCCGCACGCTCCTCCCGCCGGCGCTAGTGGCGCCAGGCGGGTCCCTCCTTCCGCCACGCGAAGCGGGCCTCGCCGCCTTTGTTCTAGCGATACTGGTGCTGCTGCCAGTGACCCTGCACACTGGCCGCCTGGCGGACTCTGCACGCCGGCGTGCTGTGTGGGCGCCTTGATGGGCGCCACCAAAATTGGGTGCCAGGCTCTGTGCAGCTGGCACCATCTATACTCTGAGTCGTGCACAGCCGGGCGCAGGCGCCGGCGTGCGCGCGGGGCCCAACTGGCCCTCTTGTCTGCCGACTGCCGCCAGGCAACTGGTGCGGGCGTGCGCGGCTATCCTCCGTGAGGTTAGGCCTTGGGCTCACGCCGGCGCACTGATTGCTGGCGGAGCCTGACCTCGGGCCAAGGCCCGAAGATGCCATCGCTGGCGCTTGGCACAGGCCGGTGCCCGGCACCCCCGTCCGCGCCGCGGCCTCCAGATCTCCCGGCCCCCCGCCGCCCCACGAGTGCTCGGGGCGGGCAGGGTCCGGCCCCTGACAGAGGGGGTTCCCCGGGCCGGCGCTGGGGCGCGGGCCTGTGCCTGTGCTCGAATTCTGGTGCCGCGGCTGCGCTGGGCTGTCAGGTTGCCAGCTGCCGTGTCCTGTGCTAGCGTCAGTGTGCCCGGCACGACCAGGCTTGACAAAGAGAGCCGGCGTGCCAGGCAGGCTTCAGCATGGCCCTTGTCCGATGGCTTCGGAGGGCACCCACAGTATCCCAAGCACTGGTGGGGCCCCAGGCGGACAGGCCTGTGCGCGCATGCTCGCGCTGAAGTATTGACCAGTGCCGAAGGCACGGGTGGGCGTGCCCTGCGGGCGCGCGGCTGATCTGCCGGCGGCGCGGGCGGTCGAGTTACGGCACTCAAGCGCGCACGGCGGTTAGGCCGGCGGCTTGGGCTGGGCGCGCGCCAGGTGTGCAAGCACCGGCGGCGCCCGCTGCGGCCCCTCATCATGGGCTCTCACGCCTGGCGCCCTCGGCGCCGGCGGCAGCCCTGCTGGGGGCGCTGTCCTTCGCCGGGTTGGTCAGCGAGGAGGTGTCCCTGGCCATCTTGCCGGAGATGCCCTTCATCGGCTCGTGCGACCCCCACAGGTAGCCGTGGAACGCGTCCGACTGCCAGCGCCCGAACCAGCGCACCCGGGAGAGGTCCTCGGTCACGTGGTACATCGCGGTTGCCCCGCCGATCCTCAGGGAGTGGCTGCCGATCTCCTCCCTAGAGAGGCC